ATCCCGAGGGGGACGGCGCGATAAGGCCCCTGGGCGAGGGGACCGCGCGGCGGCAGCGGCTCGGCGGCTCGGCGGCCCGGCTCCCCTCCCGTGACGTCATACCCCCCCGCGTACCTTCCCCGCGCACCTCACCCCCCCTCATTGCTCCCGGTCTCGAATCCTCCTTATACATCTACTTGTATGTAATGAAACATTGTGTTCAAATTCTCGTACTATCTCCCTCATTACATACGAAATCTGTCGTAGAATCACATTGGGAAAAAAAAGAAATGATATATTAAAGTTTCTTTCGTGCAATTTGTAAATAAAGATAATTTTGGTAAAACAAAATAATGAGATCACTTTAAAACACTCGTAAAAATTGAAGATAACTATTCTTTTCCCCCTGATAGTCCATAAATAGTCGCATCACGTGATACGCGTTTACAAGTATTTATTTAATGAGCATGCCTATAAGCTTGTTTTCACTTTACGTATTATCTCTTACGACTATTTACTGACTATTACGGAAGGAAAGGACAGCTTTCTTCTATTTTTACAAGTGTTTTAAAGTAATCTTATTGTATTGATTTATCCAATTTTCTTTATTTATAAATAGTGTGAAAAAAACTTTAACATCAATGTCATTTTTTGCTTGAGATCCAATATGGCTTCAGCACGACTACTTAAGAGTCTTAAGAATATTTTATTTTGTTTTCGTTATCTTGCATTTTTTATGAATCAACATTTATAAATTATGTTATGTGAATTTATATGTTAGGAAAAATTTGTTTCTTTTATTTTTGTTATTATTTTAATCTATAACAAAAAGTAATTACTTTTCGTTAATTTGTAACTGTAATCCTAACATACACATATAAGATTGGATGAATATAAAAAAATGTTATGTTTTAAATAAATAATCAATATATTAAAAATATAAAACATAATATAATGAAATGATATAGTGATTTAATTATTGATAGCGCACGAGTAGTCTGCCTGACGGTATCATTATTATATTAGGGGGTTGCATTAAAAGCCGCTGTTTTTTGCATTGCTTTTAATGCAAAAAACAGCGGCTTTTCATGTAACCTTCTAATACCTTATCATACACTAAGAATCTTATATGAATTAACTATAATTCCTTATTTGTTTCGATCCAAAATCGATATTGAAGAAATTATATATATAGGTAATTAAGTAAAAAATAGGATTCTCAGTGTATATAAGGGATTTTTTCTATATCCTGATAATAACCTGAAAAGGACCTTATGAATTAATCTAATACGGTCCTCAAAGGGTAAATGAAATTCAGTCCTGATCATGCAATGCGTTACATATCTTGGCTGGACCGAATCAGGTAACCTTACCAGGGCCAGATTATGTATTACGGCACCCTGATTCGGACCTGCTCAGTCAAGTAATATAATTTCTACTCGGGTATGAGTTCTCTTTTGAGATACTCTCGAATATCCGGACGATTTTTAAATCGCGGATGTACTCCAAAAAGTAGATGAAATGGAGATGTCTCAATGCTCCGATGTATAGTAGAATTCAGATATTGTTGTGCGAGTTCCACATATTTGTACCACTCGTCAGGCTTTGGCGAGGCCAATTTGGTAAGGAGAGGTATGAGTGTCCGGTTGAGGCGCTCAACCTGTCCGTTCGCTCTCGGAACTCCCGTCGTAATTAAGCAATGCTCTATATTTTCCTCGCGACAATACTCCTTGAATTCACTCGACGTGAATGCCGTTCCTCGGTCAGACACTATTCGTCGTGGGTTGCAAAAGGTTG